TCCACCACCAGTATCTACCAACAAACCTCGGGGACTAAATAATCCACCACCAGTATCTACCAACAAACCTCGGGGACTAAATAATCCACCAGCAGTATCTACCATCTTGTATTCTGAAAGGCGAATGTAACACGCACACAAAAGTGAGTAAACCCCCAACCTTAAACAAAGCATGCTAGATGAGGATGGGATTCGTCTTCTTCCCTATTAGCATTTTAATTATACTGGACCGAGAAATAGCGGTTACAAACTACAAAATGAAGGACAGCCGTTTTCTGGTTACTCGAATTGGAAGTAGGCTTAAAAGAGACGTTGGGGTTGATACCACGCTTCGTCGTACTTGCTTTTCCAATCCATTCTAAGAGGAATATGCCTAATTATGGACCAAAGGAACATTGCCAAGCATCAGCATGGTCTCCCGGTTCTTCCACTTCCTGTTTGATACTGTATGTGTTGTAGATAATTCGACAGAACAGCAGTATAACGTACAATAACTACATACTTTTATTTCACATGTACAGGTGTACTTTACACATTTTTACAAAATATATTTACATTTTGTAAATGATAAGCAATAAGTATGCCTTAAGTCATTCCCAATCACACCTGTAGCCCCGATCACACATGATAGATCAAAGTAACACCTAACAAACCCCAGTCACACCTGATAACCCCAATACATGCACGATTACCCCAGTCACACCTGATAACCCCAAGACATGCANCCCCCCCTCCAGTCCCAGTATACTTGATTACGCAAGTCACACCTGATAATCCACAGAAATACATGATAAACCCCAGACACACCTTATAACCTGCACTACAAACACATACTATAAGAATTGCTTCGTCACATAGTTGAAGTCCTCCTTCTCAATTTTTTCTCTGCGAAATTCCTCAATGAATTTCTTATTTGGAGCTTTGCAGTCACTGCAGGGTTCTGTAAGAATTTCGATAACTTTTCTCGTTTTTTATATACGGCTTTTATATGTCTACTCACTGATGAGAAAGCGCTTTCTACGTCTACAAAACTGTCACTGGCAGAGGTCTCGAAGAAGATACAATTGTACTCGGCACAGAATTGCGCTGCGCTTGTATCAGACACGTGCTTCCGGTGAAGAAGATCGCACTTATTGGCCACCAGGGCAAGCACAAGTTTGTCGTTTGCTCGAACAGATAGAACTCGGTCTGCGATCGTCCGAAGTCTGTCCAGACTGTCTGAGTCAGTAATGGAGTAGACCAGCATCATACCGTCCGCCCATAGTATCTCATCCGTCCTTCCATCTAGGCTATCCTCCTGTGAAAAAAAACATTCATGTCTTTAAGATTAGCGAAGAGGGATGACATATACTAAAGATGTCTGTAAGTGTTTATACCCTGTCCTTACTCCGTATATGACCCTGACTGTACCGAGGACGTTAAACCCAAAACAAACAATAAATAGATTATAGGAGTGGTCAGATTTGTCGTTGCCAGTGAATACAGGAGGAGGATCATTACTATTGGTGATTGCGATTTATTCGTTATCAGGGTTGCCGCAGTTTTCTTAGTGAGCTGATACATAATAGAAATGGCGAGAGTTGTCTTTGTGGGTTGAGAATTCCAGGAGTTGTCACATTTATCTTATGGCAACAATAGACGCCATGTAAATATTTACCTGCCAGGTGGTATCGAGGATATGTAATGTAACCGCCTTGCCGTCCACGACTGCTGTGTGAGTGTACATTGCCTCTAAAATAATAAAAATTAAATGTAATAAACTAAAAATATTTCTTGCAGAAACCTTATCTAACCAATCTTGATTTAAATATTATATATTATGTCTCACAGTGCGCTAAAATTAACCCTCTTCGGTTTGTTAAATGTTTACCCTTCAAGTTTTTTTAAACGTTACGCCCTAAATTAACTCCGCTCTTATGATCATTCTTATTGAAGATATCTCCCCTGCTTGACATCGCGTATTAAAGTTTCCGTGTACCACTCCCTTTTCATCGTTTGAAATGGATACGTTTCTTTTCTGATTTAGCTCTTTTGAGATCTATATCCATGGCTAATGTTGTCCCAATGAAGACAAAGCTCCCCTGTCTATTCTCCAGTATCCTAGTTCACATCTTTAACCCTCCTTTAAGTATTCTATAGATTTGACTTTCCTGTTAAATATTCCTTGTTGAAGACTAACCTCCCCTCATTAGTTTTTGTTGTTGAAGACCCGCTTCCCCTGTTTAATAGTCAATAGTGGAGTTATATTTTTTGTTTAATTGGATGACTTACCGCCCCCCGAGTCGTAATCTCCAATAAAACGTCGAGTAAGGTACCGCACCGTTATGGCTGTGGATAAAAAAATAGGATCATTCATAGTCACGTTAACTAGCTGTGGCAGTATGACATTTAAGTGTGATATTAATGTGTTGGATATATATTATTTGTATTTATATCAATAAATGTGTTTAAATCATTTTACTTTTTTTGTACTGACAATGAATAAAGATAACAAGGCCATTTTAAGTAATAAGTAAGGTGCATTTTATTTTTAGACACTATATTCATTACTGTCACTGTAGGAATCCTATGTTTCATGTATTGTTAAGCGCCTTAGAGTATTTTTTGCGAATTATATAAGGCGCTATATAATATGCTGTATGTTTTTTAAACGAAAATGTGATCATTCATGTCCACGTATTTAAATAAATTAAGGATGTTATATTACCATATGGTTTATTATTATTTATTATATTTTAAAATGAATGAGAGCTATATTCTGTCAAATTTATTGTAGTAATATCGTAAAAATGATCAAATGCGTAAGAGTTAACTCCCTTGGTATAGTGTCTGAGAGTGTCTACAAACGTACGTGTGGATGCGTTTGTATTTTGTACTTATTAGGTTGTTATGGGCAAAATATATACTGAGCCAGAATAGGTCGTAAATCATTTGCAATCCTAGGTAAATAGCATCAATACGTGATTTGTCAGTCGTGAAATAGACTGATGATGACAAGGTTCGTGACATAGACTGATGATGACATGGTTCGTGACATAGACTGATGATGACAACGTTCGTGACAAAGACTGATGATGACAACGTTCGTTACATTGATTGATGATGACAGGGTTCGTGACAAAGACTGATGATAATAGGGTTTAAGACATTGACTGATGATAACAGGGTTCATGACATAGACTGATGATGACATGGTTTGTGACATTGATTGATGATGCCAGGGTTCGTTACATAGACTGATGATGACAGGGTTCGCGAAATAGACTGATGATGACAACGTTCGTGCCAAAGACTGATGATGACAACGTTCGTGCCAAAGACTGATGATGACAACGTTCGTTACATAGACTAATGATGACAGGGTTCGTGACATAGAATGATGATGTGGGGTTCGTGACATTTATTGATGATAACAGGGTTTGTGACATAGACTGATGATGACATGGTTTGTTACATTGATTGATGATGACAGGGTTAGTGACATAGACTGATGATGTGATGACAACGTTCGTTACATAGACTAATGATGACAGGGTTCGTGACATAGAATGATGATGTGGGGTTCGTGACATTTATTGATGATAACAGGGTTTGTGACATAGACTGATGATGACATGGTTTGTGACATTGATTGATGATGCCAGGGTTCGTTACATAGACTGATGATGACAGGGCTCGTGAAATAGACTGATGATGACAAGGTTCGTGACATAGACTGATGATGACAACGTTCGTGACATTGATTGATGAGGACAGTGTTCGTGACATAGACTGATGATGACATGGTTCATGACATAGACTGATGATGACACGGCTCGTGACATAGACTGATGATGACAACGTACGTGACAAAGACTGATGATGACAACGTTCGTGACATGGTTGATGATGACAACGTTCGTTACATAGACTGATGATGAAAGGGTTCGTGACATTAATTGATGATGACAGCGTTTGTGACATAGACTGATGATGACAACGTTCTTGACATAGAGTTACATTGATTGATGATGACAGGGTTAGTGACATAGACTGATGATGTGATGACAACGTTCGTTACATAGACTAATGATGACAGGGTTTGTGACATAGACTGATGATGAAAGGGTTTGTGAAATAGACTGATGCTGACAATGTTCGTGACAAGATTGCTGATGATGACAGGGTTCGTGACATTGATTGATGCTGACAGGGTTCGTGACATTGACTAATGATGACAGTGTTTGTGACATAGACTGATGATGACAACGTCCGTGACAAAGACTGATGATGACAACGTTCGTGAAATAGACTGATGATGACAGGGTTCATGACATAGACTGATGATGACATGGTTTGTGACATTGATTGTTGATGACAGGGTTCGTGACATAGACTGCTGATGACAGGGTTCGTGACAAGATTTATGATGATGACAGGGTTCGTGACATTGATTAATGCTGACAGGGTTCGTGACATTGACTAATCATGACAGTCTTTGTGACATAGACTGATGATGACAACGTTCTTGACATAGAGTTACATTGATTGATGATGACAGGGATCGTGAAATAGACTGATGATGACAGGGTTCGTGAAATAGACTGATGATGACAACGTTCGTGACAAAGACTGATGATGACAACGTTCGTGACATGGTTGATGATGACAACGTTCGTTACATAGACTGATGATGATAGGGTTCGTGACATTAATTGATGATGACAGGGTTTGTGACATAGACTGATGATGACAGGGTTTATGACATAGACTGATGATGATAGGGTTCGTGACATAGACTGATGATGACAACGTTCGTGACATTGATTGATGATGACAGGGTTCGTGCCATAGTCTGATGATGACAGGGTTTGTGAAATAGACTGATGATGATAGGGTTCGTGACATAGACTGATGATGACAGGGTTCGTGAAATAGACTGATGATGACAACGTTCGTGATATAGACTGATGATGACAGGGTTCGTGAAATAGACTGATGATGACATGGTTCGTGACATAGAATGATGAAGACAGGGTTCGTGACATAGACTGATGATGACAGGGTTCGTGAAATAGACTGATGATGACAACGTTCGTGACATAGACTGATGATGACAACGTTCGTGAAATAGACTGATGATGACAACGTTCGTGATATAGACTGATGATGACAGGGTTCGTGACGAAGACTGATGATGACAGGGTTCATGACATAGACCGATGATGACAGGGGTCGTGAAATAGACTGATGATGACAACGTTCTAGACATAGACTGATGATGACAGGGTTCGTGAAATAGACTGATGATGACAACGTTCTTGATATAGACTGATGATGACAGGGTTCGTGACAAAGACTGATGATGACAGGGTTCATGACATAGACCGATGATGACAGGGTTCGTGAAATAGACTGATGATGACAACGTTCTTGACATAGACTGGTGATGACAGGGTTCATCACATAGACTGATGATGACAGGGTTTGTGACATAGATTGATGATGACAGGGTTCGTGACAAAGACTGATGATAATAGGGTTTAAGACATTGACTGATGATAACAGGGTTCATGACATAGACTGATGATGACAGGGTTCGTGACAAGATTTATGATGAGGGATGACAGGGTTCATCCCATAGACTGATGATGAAAGGGCTCGTGAAATGGACTGTGGATGACAACGTTCGTCACATTAATTGATGATGACAAGGTTCGTGACAAAGAATGATGATGACAGGGATCGTGAGATAGGCACGGTTCGTGAAATAGACTAATGATGACAACGTTCGCGACATAGACTGATGATGTCACGAACGTTGACATCATCAGTCCATTTCACGAACCCTGTAATCATCAATCTATGTGACAAACCGTGTCATCATCAATCAATGTAACGAACGTTGTCATCATCAACCATGTCAGAACGTTGTCATCATCAACCATGTCACGAACGTTGTTATCATCAGTCTATGTACGAGCCTTGTCATCATCAATCTTGGTCATGAACCCTGTCTTCATCATTCTATGTCACGAGAGATTAGTATGACGTCATACTAATCTCAAATGGACTGATGATGACAAGCTGATGATGAAATGGTTCGAGACATAGAATGATGATGTGGGGTTCGTGACATTTGTTGATGATGACAGGGTCCGTGACATAGACTGAGGATGGCAAGGTTCGTGACATAGATTGATGATGAAAGGGTTAGTGACATAGACTGATGGTGACAACGTTCTTGACATAGACTGGGGATGACAGGGTTCATCCCATAGACTGATGATGGCAGGGTTTAAGACATTGACTGATGATAACCGGGTTCATGACATAGATTATTGATTCTAGGATTCGTGAATTAGACTGATGATGACTACGTTCGTGACATTGTTTGATGATGACTGGGTTCGTGAAATAGTCTGATGATGACAGGGTTTGTGCCATAGCCTGATGATGACAGGGATCGTGAGATAGGCACGGTTCGTGAAATAGACCGATGATGACAGGGTTAGTGTCATAGACTGATGATGACGGGGTTCATGACAAAGATTGATTATGACAAGGTTCGTGACAAGATTTATGATGATGACAGTGTTCATGACAAAGATTGATTATGACAAGGTTCGTGACAAGATTTATGATGATGACAGTGTTCGTGACATAGACCTATGATGACAGGGGTCGTGACAAAGACTGATTATAATAGGGTTTAAGACATTGGCTGATGATGACAGGGGTCATGACATAGACTGATGGTGACAGGGCTCGTGACAAAGACTAATGATGACAGGGTTTGGGACCTAGACTGATGATGACGGGGTTCATGACAAAGATTGATTATGACAAGGTTCGTGACAAAGAATTATGATGACAGGGTTCATCACATAGACTGATGATAATAGACTGATGATGACCGGGTTCGTGAAATAGTCTGATGATGACAACGATCGTTACATAGACTGATGATAATAGGGCTTAAGACATTGACTGATGATGACAGCGTTAATGACATAGACTGATGAAGACAGGGTTCGTGACAAGATTTATGATGATGACAGTGTTCATGACAAAGATTGATTATGACAAGGTTCGTGACAAAGACTAATGATGACAGGGTTTGGGACCTAGACTGATGATGACAAAGTTCGTGACATAGACCTATGATGACAGGGGTCATGACAAAGACTGATGACAATAGGGTTTAAGACATGGCCTGATGATACAGGGTTCATGACATAGTGTGTTGTAGATAATTCGACAGAACAGCAGTATAACGTACAATAACTACATACTGCTGTTCTGTCGAATTATCTACAACACACTATGTCATGAACCCTGTCATCATCAATCAATGTCACTATCATCATCAGTCTAGGTCCCAAACCCTGTCATCATCATTCTATGTCACGAGAGATTAGTATGACGTCATACTAATCTCTGAATGTAGTGTGACGTCATACTAATCTCAAATGGACTGATGATGTCAACGTTCGTGACATGGTTGATGATGACAACGTTCTTGACATAGACTGATGATGACAGGGTTCATCACATAGACTGATGATGACAGGGTTTAAGACATTGACTGATGATGACAGGGTTCATGACAAAGATTGATGATGACAAGGTTCGTGACAAGATTTATGATGATGACAGGGTTCGTGACATAGACTGATGATGACAGGGTTCGTGACAAGATTTATGATGAGGACAGGGTTCGTGACATAGATTGATGATTACAGGGTTCATGACATAGATTATTGATTGTAGGATTCGTGAATTAGACTGATGATGACTTGGTTGGTGTCCAGAGTCTGGAGCGATTCCAGAGGAGAACATCCAGGTAAACATTTTACGCATCACTTGGCTTTAGGGGGATAAAACGTGTGTCAACCCTGAGGCTGGAGTTATTCTATAGGAAAAGATCGAGGACACAGGTTTTGCCGATGGACTGCCAAAAGATGATGAGTTATTGCTTTCAGCTAAGTCCTACCCATGGTGAATCGTCAGGCCTTTGTATAAGCTCCGCAGACAGTGTCGGTCATTCTCTTTCATTGATATGTACATGTATCTTTCCACAACATGTACATTTTTTCATACACATCTCAAGTTTTCAACCAACCGCAGATAATTTAGTGCACACATTCACAACGTTTGTAAGGGTATCAGAAAAAAAGTTAAAAACCTAACTTAAGTACCTAATATACACAGATATATCTGCGCACACAAACATGATTACTTTTATTCATACATGGTTATGGCCCTTTGTTATCATCCGGGTTATTATGATATAAAGCTTTGATTTAATTATTAGATCCGTTTACACTACACCGAATATGTGATAAAAAAATGTAAACAAGTAAACAGCGTACATAAAATTTCACGAAGAAAGTAAACAACAACAGCTTAACTTTATTCCTAGCACGCGATAGATATGAAATACATCATAAAACCTTGTATGAAGTTGGTATAACATTGTCTCCACGTGCAATACACACATATACTTGTGTTGGCGATTTTAAGCCGGTCGATCATGAAATATTAACAAAGTGGTCTATGGCGTGTGGGCCTCCCCTACATCTGCTCGTGTCACGTTTCTATAAAAAGACAGGTTTATCTACAACGAGACACGCTTAACATGCGCAGATCAGACTCGGCGCGGATGGTTACGTTTTATTGTACGTGCAGTGCGCGTGGGAATTTTAACGAAGCTATACAGCTTGGAATAATTCCATGGAGCGAACGTTTGTGAAAACATACCAATATGATCAGTGTTTTATAGCAGCAATCGAAGATTTTATGTGGAACGCACTCATACTGAGTTTGATGTTATGCGTTTAACCTCTGACCTTGATTTGAACCAGTTCAACAAACCAATCACACTATGCTTCTGTTTATCATCAGTCTATGTCACGAGCCATGTAATGAATGAGGAGCTTTCGTACACATTAATATTGAGAAAAGCCTGTACTAGCATTAAGTGTAAAGATCGTGTCCCAAAACAGTGATGTTGATATACACTATTCATTAAAACTGATCGTACTAGCATCAAGTGTAAAAATCGTGTCCCAAAACAGTGATGTTGATATACACTATTGATTAAAACTGCTCGTACTAGCATCAAGTGTAAAGATCGTGTCCCAAAACAGTGATTTTGATATACACTATCCATTAAAACTGATCGTACTAGCATCAAGTGTAAAAATCGTGTCCCAAAACAGTGATGTTGATATACACTATTCATTAAAACTGATCGTACTAGCATTAAGTGTAAAGATAGTGTCCCAAAACAGTGATGTTGATATACACTATTCATTAAAACTGATCGTACTAGCATTAAGTGTAAAGATAGTGTCCCAAAACAGTGATGTTGGTATACACTATTCATTAAAACTGATCGTACTAGCATTAAGTGTAAAGATCGTGTCCCAAACCAGTGATGTTGATATACACTATCCATTAAAACTGATCGTACTAGCATAAAGTGTAAAGATCGTGTCCCAAAACAGTGATGTTGATATACATTATTCATTAAAACTGATCGTACTAGCATTAAGTGTAAAGATCGTGTCCCAAAACAGTGATGTTGATATACACTATCCATTAAAACTGATCGTACTAGCATCAAGTGTAAAGATCGTGCCCCAAAACAGTGATGTTGATATACACTATTCATTAAAACTGATCGTACTAGCATCAAGTGTAAAGATCGTGCCCCAAAACAGTGATGTTGATATACACTATTCATTAAAACTGCTCGTACTAGCATCAAGTGTAAAGATTGTGTTGTTGACCGAATGATCATAGAGTTTCACTTCTGTCAAATTTCACGAACATTACAGGAGACTCAGAATGTCCCCGAGTATTTCCTGCAATGTTCGTGAAGACAAATGTTTTGTCCCGTTTTTTTCCTGTTACATGTAGCCTTAATGTTACCACCACACACCAATCATTTCCGAACCGAATGTCGCAAGAGTTCTCAAATGATCTCACTATCGTTCCGGGGGATGAAGTACGTGTTCGCTCATGTGCCTGTAGGGCTAGATGTGAACAGGTACATTCCATTGCCGATAAAAATCGTTCAGAGACACTAGACTGCTTATGTTTCTGTAAACGTACACAGTTCACCACGGGGGTCTCTTCTCGAAATGTCATGACGTAGATTCAGGTGGAATCTTTAGTTTTTAGTACTACGGAAAGGATTATCCCTGTTTCCACATGTCAAAACTTGGCTAGGACCCGGTCAGCTGGAGACGCTTGCTCTATAATGTGGTGTGTATGGGGCGACTCCCGAGGGTAATTTGGAACTGTTTCAGTATAAACAGTTTTCTGTCGGAATCTCAATATCAAGAAAATGTATTGCTGCAGTGACTGATGATAGTCTGCACCAAGTCATTTGAATATATTCCAAGGAATCAATAATTGAACATGCAGCTTTTGACTCGGTTGATGCAATAAAATTGTACACGGATGTATGACTACCGATTTGGTATCAACATGTCACGGGTATCTGATAGTAGATACTGCTGTGTCTCTTCTTTAAAAAAACAATTCCTGGCTGTTTTGATTGTAATAGTGTAAATTGCTGTGTTCGTGATGTCATTCAGACCACTTCGCTCTGAAGGCGTGAACGTTAAGTTTGTCTGTGCTGTGAAATGTTGCCTTTATATATTATATAAAATTGCACTTTAACAAATCAAAATTTGTACACGAACACGAATGCTGATAAAAAAAAATGATTACCGTGAGTCATGCCGTATACGTGGTACTTTTCACTAGAGGAACGGAGGGTGTCAAAACGCACGTGCAGTATCCATAGTAACAGTTTAATTTGTTTTTTCCCCGAACTGATGGAATTTAGCAACAAGAACAGATTGATAAGCAGAATCTATGAATATACATTTCCAGCGTGAACAGGGTGTTTTGTAAACAGATTGGATAAGTTAGTAAAAAGCAGAGTCGAGTGACGTTTGTTGTGACAATATAACTGACGAATGAACGTAGTCTGACGTCATACTGACTGACCCCTGACTGTAGTGTGACGTGTTATTAACCCTGGACCGTGGTGTGACAATGTAACTGACCCTGAAATGTAGTGAGACGACATACTAATCTCTGAATGTAGTGTGACGTCATACTAATCTCTGAATATATTTAACTAGTCGTGCAAAATCTCGAGACTATGTACGAGTAAAATGTAATAATTATAGTTTTGCAATACGATATACATGTAGAGGTAAAGTGGTGGAAAAGTACGGAAATCGTATAATTTTGAGGACACACAAGATACTTTAATTATAGTTGTGAGGAGGCACAAAAAGATACTATATACTGAGGAAGCACGGGACACTATATACTTCTGAGGAAGCACGGGATACTATATACTGCTGAGGAAGCACGGGACACTATATACTGCTGAAGAAGCACGGGACACTATACACTAATCTCTGAATGTAGTGTGACGTCATACTAATCTCTGAATATATTTAACTAGTCGTGCAAAATCTCGAGACTATGTACGAGTAAAATGTAATAATTATAGTTTTGCAATACGATATACATGTAGAGGTAAAGTGGTGGAAAAGTACTGAAATCGTATAATTTTGAGGACACACAAGATTCTTTAATTATAGTTGTGAGGAGGCACAAAAAGATACTATATACTGAGGAAGCACTGGACACTATATACTTCTGAGGAAGCACGGGACACTATATACTGCTGAAGAAGCACGGGACACTATATACTGCTGAAGAAGCACGGGACACTATACACTGCTGAGGAAGCACGGGGTACTATATACTGCTGAGGAAGCACGAGGTACCGTATACTGCTGAGGAAGCACGGGACACTACATACTAATCTCTGAATATAATGTGACGATATACTAATCTCTTAATATAGTGTGACGACATACTAATCTCTGAATGTAGTGTGACGACATACTAATCTCTGAATGTAGTGTGACGTCATACTAATCTCTGAATGAAATGTGACGTAAAACTGACCCCTGAATGCAGTGTGACGTTATAACGGACGCCTGAATGTCCAGTGTGTGACGCACTACTTACGCTGGACAGTGGTGGGACAATGTAACTGATTATGGTACTGACCACCCGAATACACTGGACGTTTGTATGACGTGTTTCTCTGACTCCGGAATGTAGTATGATTATCTTACTGACCAGAACCCACCTGTCTTTCCGACCCCCGGACCTCCGACCACGATGATGTTTATGTCTTTTCCTCCACCATTATGCGTCCGATCATCCGGCGTCACCTTTGGGTCTTTGTACATGGCATGATACGCATGCGTCATCACGGTCAAACGACGTCCTTCTTTACACAGAAACGAGACGTAACAGTAATAAAACAGTAGCGTAATCCAGCAGGGCCGTACTAAAGACTTCCTCCAATGTCATACAGGTCATTATAATGTCCACTGCTGATCAGAAGGCTACAAAGGTCATTTTGATAAAAAAAAAATCATTGATCAAATAAAGTAGGCTGTGCTGGATGGAGTACACAGAGAGTTACTCACATTTTAACATAGAAGAACTGTTAAACATTAGCATCAACTGGTGGTGTAAACGTATTAAGTTTGTAGGCGGTTTACCTTCCGTTGATTCGATCCCACACATTGCTCCTGAAGATGAAGGGCTGAGACTACGTCAACATATCCTGTTACAAGTGGAACGATGCCTTTGGTTGCTCGTGCATAAAGCTTACCAACCTGAATTGGGATCAAAGTTATTCCAGAATCATTACTGTGTCATTAACTGTCGCGTTACTCTTGTTTGGAATCCAGATACAGAGACAACTATCGTGTCATTTCTATGACTAATAATTCTGAGCAATCATAGAAATTACTAGGATGTCACTTCCGGATACACTCAGATAAGATATTCTAAGATCACTAGCAAGTCACTTTTGAATACCAGTAATACCGAGATTATATATCTTAAAATAAATATAATGTCATTTCCAGAACAAATAATACCAAGGCACTATGTATCCCAAAATAATGTCATTTCCGGAATCAAATTTACTATTGAAACCAATAAAATCAGAGAGACTATATCACCGAGTAACTGTCGTTTCACTTCCGGAAAGTATCCACAATCGAGGTACTCTCTGGAGAGAACTATATACTGCTGAAGAAGCACGGGGTACGATATACTGCTGAGGAAGCACGGGGCACTCTATACTGCTGAGGAAGCTCGGGACACTATATACTACTGAGGAAGCACGGGGCACTCTATACTGCTGAGGAAGCACGGGGCACTCTATACTGCTGAGGAAGCCCGGGGTACTATATACTTCTGAGGAAGCACGGGACACTATATACTGCTGAAGAAGCACGGGGTACGATATACTGCTGAGGAAGCTCGGGACACTATATACTAATAAAATCAGAGAGTCTATATCGCCGAGTAACTGTCGTTTTACTTCCGGACCGTATCCACAATCGATTTACTCTCTGGAGAGAACAGTTACAATGCATGACACTATATATCACAGAGTAACTGTCGTTTTACTTCCGGAACGTATCCACAATCGAGTTACTCTCTGGAGAGAACAGTTACAGTACATGCACCTTGATACATGTATCTTTACAACACAATATACGGCGGATGTATGTCAGGTGCGAATGGATTTCGTAATTTCTACAAAACATATTTGTTATGTTTTGAGAGTGACTTCCACACAGTATATAGGTAAATCGCTTAAAAATTCCATCATATCGTACAGTTATGAAACTAATCGTTCCCTAAGACTACTCGAGGAAATGCGCTTGTACCGGAGAGCTGATTTTGGTTTAAAAGACAGATCGCCGCTAAGTCAGTGTAAGCCCTTCCCGGCGCGGAGGCTGGCGCGTGGTGAGGGATAGCGCATATTATTATACCCCGCCTCATGTGTTTACTACCCCACATTAGTGTCGGCTAATTTCAGGATACCAAATCTTCGACACGACTTTGGGAGTGTAGTAAATCACAAAACTATACAAACATCAGCTGTGGGGATGTCTTAGTGCCAGGTTGTTGTCCGATGTTGATGTGTTAAGAACACTTTTCTCACGAAATCTGTCGAAAAAACAAATCGCAAATAAAGTAAGATTTTATCAGACATATAATCTCGCATGAAAGTGTTGAATGTTGACTGGAAGTGTGTACACTTTAGAGTAAATATTGACGGGGCTTCCTGAATTGTGGCAGCATACAGTTTGTGGTCTTCATTCCATAGTTAAAATGTTTTGGTGACGTTCACATAGTTACAGATACATATTTGTGTGTAGGCGAAACCCCAGGGTTCATTCAAGGCTAACGTAGGTAGTACAATGACGTGACTGTTTTAGGGGATAACTTCCTGTTTGTCTAGCCATCTACGTCCTCCCCAATGTATTAGTATACAATAATACTGATGGATATATTTAAGTAGTCGTGCAAAATCTCGATACCGTATGGTTTTCTGAGAAAATCAAAAGTTAAACAACATATTAGCATAACAAGAGACTATGTACGAGTAAAATGTAATAATTATAGTTTTGCCATACGATATACATGTAGCGGTAAAGTGGTGGAAAAGTACGGAAATCGTATAATTTTGAGGACACACAAGATACTTCAATTATAGTAGTGAGGAGACACAAAAAGATACTATATACTGAGGAAGCACGGGATACTATATACTGCTGAGGAAGCACGGGATACTATATACTGCTGGGGAAGCACGGGATACTATATACTGCTGGGGAAGCACGGGACACATACTGCTGAGGAAGCACGGGATACAATATACTGCTGAGGAAGCACGGGATGCTATATACTGCTGAGGAAGCACGAGGGACTATATACTGCTGAGGAGACACGGGGTAATATATACTGCTGAGGAAGCACGGGGAACTATATACTGCTGAGGAGACACGGGGCACTATATACTGCTGAGGAAGCACGGGGTACTATATACTGCTGAGGAAGCACAGGATACTATATACTGCTGAGGAAGCACGGGATACTATATACTGCTGAAGAAGCACGGGACACTATATACTGCTAAGGAAGCACGGGACACTATATACTGCTGAGGAAGCACAGGAAACTATATACTGCTGAGGAAGCACGGGACACTATATACTGCTGAGGAAGCACGGGATACTATATACTGCTGAGGAAGCACGGGGTACTATATACTGCTGAGGAAGCACGGGGGACTATATACTGCTGAGGAAGCACAGGATACTATATTCTGCTGAGGAAGCACGGGATACTATATACTGCGGAGGAAGCACGGGATACTATATACTGCTGAGGAAGCACGGGATACTATATACTTCTGAGGAAGCAAGGGACACTATATACTACTGAGGAAGCACGGGATACTATATACTGCTGAGGAAGCACGTGGTACTATATACTTCTGAGGAAGCACGGGATACTATATACTTCTGAGGAAGCACGGGATACTATATACTGCTGAGGAAGCACGGGATACTATATGCTTCTGAGGAAGCAAGGGACACTATATACTACTGAGGAAGCACGGGATACTATATACTGCTGAGGAAACACGGGGTACTATATACTTCTGAGGAAGCACGGGATACTATATACTTCTGAGGAAGCACGGGGTACTATATACTTCTGAGGAAGCACGGGACACTATATACTGCTGAGGAAGCACGGGGTACTATATACTTCTGAGGAAGCACGGGATACTATATACTGCTGAGGAAGCACGTGGTACTATATACTTCTGAGGAAGCACGGGGCACTATATACTTCTGAGGAAGCACGGGACACTATATACTGCTGAAGAAGCACGGGGTACTATATACTGCTGAAGAAGCACGGGATACCATTTACTGTTGAGGAAGCACGGGACAATATGTACTGCTGAAGAAGCATGAGATACTACATACTGCTGAGGAAGCACGGGACAGTATATACTGCTGAGGATGCACGGGACATTATATACTGCCGAGGAAGCACGGGACACTATATACTGCTGAGGAAGCACGGGACACTATATACTGCTGAAGAAGCACGGGACACTATATACTGCTGAAGAAGCACGGGACACTATACACTGCTGAAAAAGCACGGGGTACTATATACTGCTGAAGAAGCACGGGACACTATATACTGCTGAGGAAGCACGGGACACTATATACTGCTGAGGAAGCACGGGACACTATATACTGCTGAAGAAGCACGGGACACTATATACTGCTGAAGAAGCACGGGACACTATACACTGCTGAAAAAGCACGGGGTACTATATACTGCTGAAGAAGCACGGGACACTATATACTGCTGAGGAAGCACGGGACACTATATACTGCTGAGGAAGCACGGGACACTATATACTGCTGAAGAAGCACGGGACACTATACACTGCTGAAGAAGCACGGGACACTATACACTGCTGAAGAAGCACGGGACACTATACACTGCTGAAAAAGCACGGGGTACTATATACTGCTGAGGAAGCACGGGACACTATATACTGCTGGGGAAGCACGGGACACTATATACTGCTGAGGAAGCACGGGACACTATATACTGCTGAAGAAGCACGGGACACTATATACTGCTGAGGAAGCACGGGACATTATATACTGCCGAGGAAGCACGGGACACTATATACTGCTGGGGAAGCACGGGACACTATATACTGCTGGAGAAGCACGGGACACTATACGCTGCTGAAAAAGCACGGGGTACTATATACTGCTGAAGAAGCACGGGACACTATACACTGCTGAAAAAGCACGGGGTACTATAAACTGCTGGAGAAGCACGGGACACTATATACTGCTGAGGAAGCACGGGGCACTATATACTGCTGAAGAAGCACGGGACACTATACACTGCTAAAAAAGCACGGGGTACTATATACTGCTGGAGAAGCACGGGACACTATACGCTGCTGAAAAAGCACGGGGTACTATATACTGCTGGAGAAGCACGGGACACTATACACTGCTGAAAAAGCACGGGGTACTATATACTGCTGGAGAAGCACGGGACACTATATACTGCTGGAGAAGCACGGGACACTATACACTGCTGAAAAAGCACGGGATACTATACACTGCTGAAGAAGCACGGGACACTATATACTGCTGGAGAAGCACGGGACACTATATACTGCTGAAGAAGCACGGGACACTATACACTGCTGAAAAAGCACGGGTACTATATACTGCTGGAGAAACACGGGGTACTATACACTGCTGGAGAAGCACCGGACACTATACACTGCTGAAAAAGCACGGGATACTATACTACTAAGGAAGTACGGGATAATATATATATACAACAGTGCTGAGGCAGCGCATGATAATGTATATTATTGTTGAAACGTGGGACACTGTATAATATAGTACTGAGGAATCGTATTAGACACTCTAAATGGTTGAGGAAACAGTGATATATGTCGGCAACCCGCACGGTGAATAACCTCCTAGTTAGAAATCCTTTATTTTATATTACTAACGTAAGTCAAAGTCTGACGTCCAAAAAATGAGGCGTTTATGAGTACGCTATACTTCACAGGACTTCCCTGAACCAACACTGGCGGTTATCTTAACTAACTAAGGCAATTACTGACGACTATTTGTGGACTGCCAAATGCTATAACCAATCATTCAGAACTTGTCTAGCTTGATGTTGGACGAGAGAAGCCCTGGCCATTCGATATATGTTGTGATGATTTTTTTGCAAACGGTAAGAGCAGATGATATATATTGAGAGCATGTTGAGAGCATGGCAAATACGTCTGAAAACTGTCAATTAAGTTATCATGTTGTTTAGTTGTGACCTAACACGAGTAAGCTAACAAACAACTATTACTAAGTAGGACCATTCATACAGGCAATAACATCCCCATTGTGCTGAAACGGAGATAGGTCATTCCCGTGGTGCGTCAGTTGTTACGGGTATCTATGGTAATACACGTGTTGTTTTGTAAACATCTTGTACTTGCCGACCACGTAATTAGACAGTGATTCCGACACGGTTACTTGAAAACCAAGGAACCACAAAATAGATACCAGGGGGGGGG